CCTTTCAAAGTTACCCTCTAATATTTTGCTCCAGCTTCCTCCAAACAAAACAACTGGTGCAGCTGCCAGTCACGCTGGCTTTCTGGTTCACTGCCTACTTAAGCGTAAAGAAATGGCGTCCTTGCTCCCTTATTTTAACTACTGCTGGGCTTGGCAGAGTTCCAGGCTCTTTGGGTACTGAACCTTGCAGAGTCCATAAAGTTAATTTTCCAGACTCACTGCAGCCTGGTATGAACTTCAGACGAGGCGGCACTGGAAGAAGTCACAATGACTTTCCCATACCACTTAAAAATATATTTTTTTAACTTGTCAAAAAGAAACATTCATCAGCATAGACTATAGGCTGGGCCATAAAACAAATCTTAATACACTGCAAAGAATTTAAATCATACAAAGAGAGTTCTCTGAAAAGAATGCAATTCTGATTCTAGACGTCAGTAATAAAAAGATATCTAAAAGTCCCCAAGTAGTTGGAAATTAAACGACACACTATGGGCCAAACTGGAAGTCACAAGATAAGTTGGAAAATACTTTGAGCTGAATGGAAATAAAAATACAACATATTAAGGTTTCTGGGATGTGTTTTAAAGTATTGCCTAGGGGCACCTGGGTGGCTCAGTGGGTTAAAGCCTCTGCCTTCGGCCCGGGGCCGTGATCCCAGGGTCCTGAGATCGAGCCCTCCATCGGGCTCTCTGCTCAGCGGGGAGCCTGCTTCCTCCTCTCTCTGCCTGCCTCTCTGCCTACTTGTGATCTTTGCCTGTCAAATAAGTAAATAAAATCTTAAAGTATTGCCTAGAGGGTCCCCAGGGTGGTTCAGTCAGTTAAATGTCTGCTCAGGTCATGATCCTAGGGTCCTGGGATCAACCCCTGCATTGGGCTCCCTGCTCAGTGGGGAGCCTGCTTCTCCCTCTCCAACTTCTCCTGCTTGTGTTCCCTCTCTCAATGTCTCTCTGTCAAATAAATAAATAAAGTACTAATAAATAAAGTAGAGCTTAGAGGAAAATGTATGGCATCAAAGGTTTATAAACAACGGGCACCTGGGTGGCTCAGTGGGTTAAGCCTCTGCCTTTGGCTCAGGTCATGATCCCAGGGTCCTGGAATCGAGCCCCGCATCGGGCTCTCTGCTCAGCAGGGAGCCTGCTTCCCCCTCTCTCTCTGCCTGCTGCTCTGCCTGCTTCTCTGCCTACTTGTGATCTCCGCCTGCCTCTCTGCCTACTTGTGATCTGTCAAATAAATAAATAAAATCTTTTTTTAAAAAGGGCTTATAAACAAGAAATATGTAAAATTAATGATCTAAGTTTCCATCTTAAAAAAAAAACTAGAAAAAGCAGCTAAAAGCAAGGCAAGCAGAAAGAAAAAAAATAAAGAGATGAAATCAATGAAATTGAAAAACAGAAAAATCAGAAAATCAACTAAACCAAAAGCTGTTTTTTTTTAAAAGATCAATGAAATTGGTAAGACTTAGTCAAACTGATCAAAAAAAAGAGGGGGAAAAATTTACTGATCTCAAGAATGATAAGAGAGAACACCATTATATATCCTATAGATATTAAAAGGATAATAATGTGATAGTATCATATATGAACAACATTAAAAGGATGATGGTGTAATATTATGATATATGAACAACTTTATAGCTGTAAACTCCACTATCTAGACAAAATAGACAAATTCCTTGAAGATACAAGCTACCAAGACTCACTCAAGAAGAAATAGATACGCTGAATAGCCCTATATTTTATTAAAGAAATAGAACTTGTATTTTAAAACATTTCAGTAAGGAAAACTCCATATTCAGATGGCTTTATTGGAAAATTCTAACAAACGTTTAAGGAATGAATAATACCAATTTGATGTTAACTTCTCCGGAAAACAGAAGAGAAGGAAACACTTCCCCACTCATTTTATGAGATCAGTATTATCCTGACACCAAAACTAGACAAAGACATTAAAGAAAACCATAGATCAATATCTCTGAAAAATATTAATGCAAAAATCCTCAATAAAATGTGACTAATTGACTCCAGCAACATATCAAAATGATAGAACACCATCACCAAGTTGGGCTTATCCCAGGAATGCAAGCTCTGTTTAACATTTTTATTTATTTATTTACAAAGATTTTATTTATTTATTTGACACACTCGGAGTGCACACAAGCAGAGGGAGGGACAGGCAGAGGAAGAAGCAGGATCCCCCCTGAGCAGAGAGCCAGACATGGGGAATCCAGGACCTTGGGATCATGACCTGAGCTGAAAGCAGACACTTAAAGGACTGAGCCACCTGCCCCTTTTTTTGTTTTGTTTTTGAGATTTTATTTATTTATTTGACAGAGAGAGAGAGAACATGAGCAGGGAGAGGGCCAGAGGGAGAGAGAGAGAAGCAGATTCCCTGCTCAGCAATGAGACTAACTCAATCTTACAGCCCCCCCGAGATCATGACCTGAGCCGAAATCAGACACTTAACTGACTGAGCCACCCAGGTGCCCCTCAACATTTTTAAATCTATGAATGCAATTCACTATATCAACAGACTAAGTAAGAAAAATCATGCTCAGGTACTTTCCTCCTAACATCAGTCACAGAAATGTCTGCTCTCACCATTCCTGTTTGATGTCACATGGGAGGACCTATCAAGTGCAGGATGGCAAGAAAAAGAAAAGGTATACCAGTTAGGAAGAACTAAACCTATCCATGTTTGCTGGTGACATGACTGCCTACATAGAAAACCCCAAGGAATTTACAAAAAGCTAGAACTTGTGAGAAAACATCCAGAAGGTAAATAAGCATACGAAAAACTGCTCAGCATTAGTTATTAGGAAAATGCAAATTAAAACCACAGGAGACAATTACCTACCTATTAGAATGGCTAAAATCAAAAGACCTGAATAGGAGTGTTGGCAAAGATGCAGAGTAATTGGAACATTGCTGGTAGAGATGTAAAATGGCATAGTCACTTTGGAAAACATTTTGGCAATTACTTACAGTAACATGTACTTATCCTGTGACCCAGCAGTACTCCTCCTAAGTATTATTTTCCCAAGAGAAAGGAAAACATATGTTCACACAAAAGACCATGCATGAATGTTTATAGTGGCTTGATTTATAATCACCAAGACTAGAAACAACTCAAATGTTCTTCAGCTGGAAATAGATAAACAAAGTCTGGTTTATCCATATAATGGAATACCACTCAGCAATAAAAAAGAACGAACTATGGAGATACTCAACTACATGGGTGAATCTCAAATGCATGTTAAGTAAAAGAAGTTTAGTTAGTCTCAAAAGGTTGCATTTATATGACATCTTGGAAAAGGCAAAGCTATTGAGACAGAAAACACATCAGTGGTTGCCATTTGCAAACAATTTCTAGGAGGTTCACAGACCACCTGTAGCTCATCCCTGGACCCCATCTATATGCTACTCCCTGGTCCCGGAAGCCACCCATTCCTCTCTTCCCAGCTCCTTCCTGAAACCTATCCAGATTTACCTTCAGTGGTATGCTGCTTGGTGTGGGATTGGTCCCCGTTTGATAGACGGTCCCCGTTTATAGACGGTATGATATTTTTCTCTCCTCAGGTATCACTTCCAGGGCAAACACCCATCTCAGTGCTGGGCGTATGGAATGTGCTAGATGATGAAGTACTGACTGAGGCAGTCTGCCTAGTAGCAAACTATTTCATTCTTTCCCCAGATCCATGAACTTCCCACCATTGTGCTCAGACTTGAGTAAATAGGAGCCATCTGGGAGAAGGATGGGAATATGGAACCTAAAACAGGGACACCTGGCTGGCTTGGTCGGTAGAGCATAGGACTCTTCACCTTAGGGTCCCGAGTTTGAGTCCCACCTTTGACCTGGGGATTACTTAAAACAAAAATACCTAAACCAAGCTGGGCTCTGTCCATCTGCATCTGCCACATCAGAAAGGCCAGCTGCATAGGAAGTCTATGATGACAGACCCCCAGGCTAATGGAGGGAAGTGCTGACTTTAACCAGTTTCAGTCTTCATACCTCCCACTCCCTCTTTTCCTCTCTCTCTCTGCCTTTCATTCATTCATCACTGGTTGGCGGGATGCTACAGTACTGATCAGGACAGACACAAAAGCTGTCCTCAAGGCGTTTGTAACCCAGCAAAGCGTAAGGGGGAAGTAATCTGTTCTCAGACCGTGCGGGATCGGCCCTGCCCGTGAAGTTCAGACCGCATGGGGGGTGTCGGGAGGGGTGCTCCCGGCGCAGGCGTCTTCCAGCCGACTCCGCTCGAGCTGCGTTTTTTACGACCTGCTGGAGTCCGCAGTCCTGCAAGTCTCTCCCCGGCGGAGAGACGCGCGGGTGCCAGGGACCCAGGGCCGCCCACTAGGGCCCTTCCCCGCCGCCAGGGCGCGGCGGCCCCGCCCAGGCCAGCCCGGGGCGGGGGCCCGTTCCCATAGGGATTGCGGCTGGGGCGGCGGCGGGCACAACCGTGAGAGAGGCGGCGAGGCGGGAGCAGGGCCAGGCCCGGCAGTGGCGGCGCCGTGAGTCCCGGGCGGGGAAGGCGCACGGGCCCGGACGGCGGGCCTGGGCGCCACGTGGTGCGGCTAGAGGCTGCGCAGCACGGGAGGGGTTGGGGGGAGGGCGCGGGGGGCGGCGGGACCGCACATCCCTGCCCCGCGGCGAGGCCCACCCCGGAGGCGCCAGGCTCCCCCACATGGTGTTTCGGCTAGTGCCTCCGTGCCCGAGGGAAATGAGACCCGAAATGAGAACCGGGGAAGCCCTGAGCCGGCTCATGTGTCTTAGATCGGATGAACTAGATCATTAAACAAGATAGATTATCTTACAGCTCGGTTCGTTTTAGGATGACGGGTTGCTTTTTAACTCTCAGGATGTATACCGGGCGCTTAGAATTGGGTTACCGAGGGCAGCGAGCTCTAGGCTGTCATCCCGGATCTCGTTGCCCTTGCGAGCTTTAAGGACATGGGTCGATTCCTAACTGGTTAACAAGTGCCCTTCTGTTCCAGGTGCTTGACAAAGAGCCATCGTTGAGTGGGGCTCTAGTTCAGTCTGTTCGAGCCAGTAGTCTATGTGTGACATTTTCAAACTATGTGAAGATCCGTTTTAAGATTTATTCCTCTATGATGGAGAAGTATGAAAAAATTGGGAAAATTGGCGAAGGATCCTATGGAGTTGTTTTCAAATGCAGAAACAGGGACACGGGTCAGATTGTAGCCATCAAGAGATTTCTGGAATCAGAAGATGACCCTGTCATAAAGAAAATCGCCCTTCGAGAAATCCGCATGCTCAAGGTAAATGGATTCTTTAAAATGAATTTTCAGGGTCTAAAAAATTAAAGCGAGTCGTGTTATGTTTAATAAATGTGTTAAGAGGCGGTAACATCTCCTTCCAAGGACATTTGTCCTCAGTGACACAAGTGGGACGTCTGTGTACAAGTTGCCAATTTCTTGGGGTGGGGGGGGACACCGGTGCAGGGAAAGGGGGAGATTCACTTTTGGAGATGCTGTGGGTGTTTCATTTTTCTTCCTCTCCCCCATGTCCACTCTAGACCTGGTTCTTCAAGAGCCATCAACTTCAGTTTGCTGGCATTCATTAGTGGTAAACTTCCAGGCCATGTTCTGCTGACATTCTCAGCCCATTAAGAGAATTAATCATTCACCTGTTTTCAAACTGCTAGGAAGCTGACAGGTTTTCTTTACACCTCACATGTATCTGCTGCTGAACATCATAATGTCCTTTCTCTAGAAAAAAGATTCTTCTTAAAGAAGTGAAATGATGGGGGCGCCTGGGTGGCTCAATGGGTTAAGCCTCTGCCTTCGGCTCAGGTCATGATCCCAGGGTCCTGGGATCGAGCCCCACATAGGGCTCTCTGCTCGGCGGGGAGCCTGCTTCCTCCTCTCTCCTCTCTCTCTGCCTGCCTCTCTGCCTGCTTGTGATCTCTGTCTGTCAAATAAATAAATAAAATCTTTTTTTTTTTAAAGATTTTATTTATTTATTTGACAGAGATCACAAGCAGGCAGAGAGGCAGTCAGAGAGAAAGAGGAGGATTTTGAAGAATGGGGTGCTCTGTGCTTCAAAATCAGGCTCCTGTACACACAGCCCTTTCCTTCAGGTAGCATCAATATTCGGTTATTTAAGAGAACACATCTGACTTCCTAATTTATTGGCAACAACCACTCCCGATCTATATGAGGTGATGGGACTAGATTATGGATAGAGTCCATTATTCAAAACCCTAACTTTTCAGCATTCTGTGATATCCCCAACACATAACAGGTACTTAAATATTTGCTGAAATGGTGAATTGGAAGTTTCTTGAATGAAGTCACATTTTTTCCATTTAATTATTCAGTAAATATGCGTAGAGCCTCCTTGTGCCTAAAACAATGTTTTTTGTTTTGTTTTTGTTTTTTTTTGTTTATTAGAGAGGAGGATAGAGCACTTGAGCCGGGGTGGGGTGGGTGGGGGGGTAGGGACAGAGGGGGAGAGAGAATCTCAAGCACACTCCCCTGCTGAGTGTGGAGTCTGACCCAGGTCTCAGTGATAGGATGCCAAGGTCAGGACCTGAGCCGAAACCCAGGGTCAGACCCTCAACCAACTGGGCCACCCATAAACAATGTTTATATGAAATGGTACACGTTGTGTTTCTGATGCTTAACCATGGAAGGGAAATAAGATAAATTTCCCCTTGGCTATCAATCCTGATAAACTGGCTTCCTGATGAGCAGGGTCTGTGTCATTTACCTTGTGTCTCCAGGCCTGGCAAGAATCCTCTAAATAACGTATTTAGAGGCATGTTTGAACTAGACTTTGAAGTGTTTAGGGAGGCATGGAATGAGAAGGCATTCAGGACAGAGAGTCTCTCCTAGGAAAAGGTACATACGTGGAAAGCAATATATGGAAGGAACACAGGTTATAACCCTAAAATTTTAGCCAGGATTGCCTGCTGGGTGCTACCAGGCCAGGAAGAGAAGGAAAGGAAAGAACACCAGGGCTCAGTAGAAGGAGGTGGGAGGAATTTCCTGGAGTAGAGGTCTACTTTGCACAAAGCTACACCTTGGTACCAGGTGGCCTTTTGGGTCTGGAGGTTGACTCCAGGGGACATACTATAGTCCCCTAAACAGGAAAAAAACTGGTGACATCTAAGCAAGTGTTTTAGGGCCCCCATCTGAGCTGGAATTCAAGGGAGAGCTCCAGTGGCCTGTGGGAAGAGGAATATTACACTGTGAGCCAAGCACAGCTCTGTGCGCCCAAGGGAAGTTTGCAGCTCAGTGAGTTTGAGTTCCTAATACTTTCCTTGCACACCTCTTGCAGAGCTATGCTTTTAATGACCCCTGCTGAGGTTAGGAACCAGGAACTAGGAGGATTGAAGGTGAAGATTGCCTCAATAACCTTAACCAGAGAGGTGAGGACTGGCAAGGGACATCCCCCTGGCTGCTCCTATTATGATAAGGCAAGCAAGACACATAGATGAAGATCAGGTGTAGAAGGATTTGAATGCCAGGCCAAGGAGTTTGGCTTTCTCCTGAAAAGAAAGAAGCCAGCCAAGGTTTTTTGTTTGTTTGTTTGTTTTTTAAGATTTTATTTGACAGACAGAGATCACAAGTAGGCAGAGAGGCAGGCAGAGAGAGGGAGGAGGAAGCAGGCTCTCCGCTGAGCAGAGAGCCCGATGCGGGGCTCCATCCCAGAACCCTGGCATCATGACCTGATCCGAAGGCAGAGGCTTAAACCACTGCGCCACCCAGGCACCCCACGACTGCCTCTCTGCCTACTTGTGATCTGTCTGTCAAATAAATAAATAAAATCTTAAAAAAAAAATTCCAATCATTTCCTCTGAAGCGGATAAGATCGTGGGAACAAATATTCTAGCAGTCAATTGCATAATTTTCAGGGTAGCATACCTACAATATTTCCCATTCTCAGTGTGGGAGCATACATGAGGCTGTAGCCATCCATTGGTAAGCGCTTTTGAGGATAATAATTATTATCAAAAAACGAATTTTGCTAATAGTTTTAGAAAACATTTTTTTCTGAAAATTTGAAACTTTTCAAATAACATTATTTTGTGCCATTTTGAAAAAAAAAGTGTGGTATTTTTATGAGATAGGTTTAGTGTTTGTACTAATAAACTGCCTTTTTAAAAGATTTATTTATTTATTTTTAAAGAGAGTGGGGGGGGGGCAGGGGGAGAGGGAGAGAATCCCAAGCAAACTCCACACTAAGCATGGAGCCCGGAACTGAGCTTGATCCCAGGACCCTGAGATCGCCACCTGAGCCCAAACCAAAAGTCAGACGCTCAACTGACTGTGCCACCCAGGTTCCCCCTAGTAAACTGCTCTTTAAACTAAATGTAATTCACTGTTCACCAAGAGGTCCTATTGTACTTGCCCTTTTAATGTTTAATTTTGAATCTGATTTTTCCCGGTTACACAGTTAGGCTTTTAAAAATATAAGCATTTGCAATAGGTATCATCAGTCAGCTCATACTCTAAGGACATACTCTAAATTATCGTTTAGCGACAGTAATAAAATTATACTAGAATACTGAGCTCAAAGCAACTGTCCTGTCCTTTCTCAAACTTACTTTCCAATGTGGGAAAACAGAAAGAATTCAGTATTTTCAGTCATCATTTTTGCTGAGACACCTGCGCATCAGTGTGCTGGCATGTGTTCATCTGGGAACTTTTTACAGAACTCCTGTATGTAGCAGGCACTGTTCTGGGCCCCTGCCCTCCATGTAAGGAGAGACTCATAGTAGACAAATAATTTATGTCAAGTGGTGAAATATAAAGCAGGATAAAGGGATAAAGAGTGATGAAGAGGCTTGCTTTCTTCATAGAGCAGGGTCAGGAAAAGCCTTTCTGATGAATGACATTTGAAGAGATACCAGCAGCAAATGGGAAGAGATGAGTGATGCCGGCATTCCAGGCAGAGGGAATAGTGAGTACAAAGGCCACAAGCAAGACTCAGTGATGTTTTCGGGCATGTTCTGGTGTGTTCTAGGAGGAGCAAAGAGATCAGGGCATCTACAGCACAGTAAGCAAGGGCAAGGGTCAGAGGAGATGATGTTAGAGGGGTGAGAGGTCAGACACAAGGGCCTCCGGGCCTCAGCAGGAACCGTGGCTTTTACTGTGAATGAGAGGGGAACCAACAGAAGATTTGGAGCAGAGGGGTGCCTTGGCATGACATACATTCTTAGAAGGATCCCTCCAGCTGTTTGTTACTCCAGCTCCATGGGCAAGAAGATCAGTTAGAAGACGATTGGAATAACCCAGGGATGAGCTGATGGGGTTTGGGTCAGAGTGGTAGTGGTGGAGGTGGTCAGGTACAAGATTTATTCTGAGAGAGTAGTATAGAGGAATCTGATGGTGGGAGGAAGAATCAAGAATGACCCCAGAGGGACGCCTGGGTGGCTCAGTTGGTTAAGCAGCTGCCTTCGGCTCAGGTCATGATCCCAGCGTCCTGGGATCGAGTCCCACATCGGGCTCCTTGCTCGTGGGGAGCCTGCTTCTCCCTCTGCCTCTGCCTGCCATTCTGTCTGCCTGTGCTTGCTCTCTCCCCCTCTCTCTCTCTCTGACAAATAAATAAATAAAATCTTAAAAAAAAAAAAAAAAGAATGACCCCAGAGTTCAGGACTTGAGTAACTACAAGAACAGGGATCAGATCATTCACTGGGATGGGGAGACCTCGGTACCCATTTGGGGGAAAGGAAATCAAGAATTCTGTTTTGATTATGTTAAGTTTGAGAGGCATATCTGAGACCATGATGTGGGCATTTAAGTACACAAATCTGGCATTTGGGAGAAAATCCAGATTGGAGAAATAAAATTGGGAGACATCAGCATAGCAGTGACATTTAAGGCCCCTGAGACTGGCTTGTCCTAGGGAATCCAGCATTTGGATTTGGAGATCAGGAAGGTGAGGAGGAAGCAGGCAAGAAGAAGAAAAAGGGGGTGATTCTGGAGGTAGGAAAATCCCAGGAACAATGTTCTTAAAAGCTTAGAGAAGAAAAGATCTCAAGAACGAGAGAATGGTCAGAATGAGATCTTGCCATTTGCATCAATGTGGATGGAACTAGAAAATATGTTAAGCAAAATCAGCCAGTCCGAGAAAGACAAATACTATATGATTTCACTCATATGTGGAATTTAAGAAACAAAACAAATTATCATGGGGGAGAAAAAGCAGCAAACCAAGAAAGACTTTTCTCATTCTAGAGAACAAACTTGAGTGTTGCTGGAGGAGAGGTGGGTGAAGGCATGGGTGAAATAGGTCATGGGAATTAAGGAGG